CGACTGAGCAGTTCCTATGAAAGCCAAAAAGACGAATAGCTGCACTGTCAGATGAAGACATCGTATGACTAGAACCCTAGAAGGTCTGCGAGACAGAAGCCATGAGATTTGTATTCGCTGTATCATCCTGTCAAATCAAAGCATGTGTTGTACCTTGGACTAATTATTACACTGGATAGTCGGTTCTCAGGCTGGTCAAGGTGAAGTGCAGTCACGAAGGGTGCTTATATCGGACAACATTGTCGTACACCTGGTTAATTCTAGTTTGACCACATCAAAATACCGGGCTGTTCGTGACATTCGTATCAACGACTTGTTACTGGTTTTTTAGGCGGTTGTGCTGAAGCAGTGTAGTTAATTCCTTGCTCAAGGGAATTCCTTGCGGTTAAAACAAAGATCGTCTCTTAACTGAATTCGAATCCCGCACCTTCGGAGTTTAAAGCCGATCTCTATCATCTGTGCCACCCCCCTGTAGTTGTTTTTTGGATACTGTTTTAGTAACTCAAGACTGAAATACGGGAAAACGTCGATGGCGTAGATAATTAAAGTAGTGAGAGTTTTTAATGGAATATTGCTCAGACGAAATATCCTTTAGGGAGGTTGCATTAATTGAAAATTTTACTAAAAATGTTGAAATGAACAATCACAAGCCGGTTGTCGTCACTAGGAGCTTTGCGAGTTGGAGTGTTTTACGATGATGGATTAGACCCTGACCATCAGTAGTGAAATGGATTGCTGGAAGTTTAATTTTAAACGTTTGCATCTACTCTATCACTGGGTTTTATCGGTTTGGAATGGTTGTTTGAACAATATAATGAAAGGGTGGATGACCTCTGACTTAGATTTAATCTTTACTAATATTATTGATTAATATTTTCATAATAGCCATGGTTCTTAAAAAATATTCTCGAGTTATTCTGAACGTATGTGTTTGCATTTGTTTTCTTTGGTTCATAAAAAGCAAGCATGTAGATGACTTTTTACCATCAGTAGTATTTCGTTAATGGTGTAATTTTTACCCTCTGATTATTGATTCCTTACTTTTTAGCGTTTCCCAGGTACAGTGGTGGTATGATCGTGTTCGTTGTTATTGCTCATCCTATATAAACCTGCAGCCTTGGACGAAAATTGTTTTTTAGGGCAATTGGGACGCTACGACGACACAAGCGAGTGAGCAGAAAACAAATGCTTGCATGCTGCGCGTTTTATACTTAAACCTTTGTACCGTTAAGTCACTGCTTCATATACTGGGACAGGTTTTCACCATTTTTATAAGGATAGCATCCTTCGTAGCTCATACTTTTGCCCTTTCTCTTATTTCAGTCTCTACCGGTCTTCGCGAGCTGTAGAGCGTGGACCTTCTCTGGAGTTGCATTTTGTCTATTGCTGGTTTTCTGGTAGTTTATGTGATCGCTTGTCCAAAGAGGGCGTCAGGTCTGTAGACCATACGAACCTTATGCAATAGTTTAATACTGCCATCGTCAAAGTTCACAACTGACTGTTGATTGATTGAACGGTTTTAATGTCTTTCATATGCGATGGATGGACGGATTTGCTTATGTAGCATATTTTTCTACAACTAGCCAGAAGTCGAATTCAAAATTGGCTCTCTCTTATAAGAATTTCTCGGCTGCAGTTATTATTGCTTGTAATTCCTAACTTTACGTTCAAGGCATTTTGCCATGTGTACTTTAAACTAGCTTAGTCTTCTATACCAAGGATTTTTTTTCTTTAAGAAATCTCGTATTGAAGAGGCGGAATGCTCTTCATTCATGGCGACACATAAGAACGACTGAAAAATATTAGAAGAAGCGTGATTTCGGGCGATGCGTTACAAGCGGCGGTATGTGGTGGTCATCTTTAGCAGTTTGGCTTTATGGACTTTTTTCATGATTTACCAATCGACAAGTACGTGTTTCAGTAATTTATGGAATTTAATTTTTTATAAACGATAAAAATGACAAACTTTTCTCCACATTGTCAAAAACAGAATTTAAATGGGTTTCTTCATCCTTGGTCAGGAGTACTCTCTTCGATATTTGCGGATATAATTTCGAATAATAAGCGAAAAGCTGCAGCAGAATTAAATACCGAAACAAAAT